TACATCGTGGAAAAGTTTTATATGTACATTTATAAATAGATGCACATTTAATCATCTAGTTTAATATTTTATTTTTATTTTTCAAATGGTTGACCCTATTAACCCTGACTGGTTCCTTGGGGGGGGGGTCAACTTGACCCCCCCCCCCTATCAGGAATAGGGTTAAGAATATATTGGGGCTACACACAATGAATGAGACTAACTTTTTTAGTCGGAGTTGCTGTTTACATTGAGCCCAAGATGTAATTTAAAATCAGATATATTTAATTACTCTCTGTTATGATTCCCTCTCTGCCTCCATGCCCGAACTTCGATTCATGCTTCACTGATGACCAACAGTCGTGGTTTACAAGGAATTATGTCCTTGGGATGATCCCACAAAAGGAGGATGGGTAAGTTCACAAAGGAAATCTTTAATGATTATCGTGACCAATATCGAGTCAAGTACATTCTTGAACCTGGAGTGGCAGGGAAAGGATTCTATAAGATGGACTGGTTATAACGATGAGAAAATTGTGGCTGGTTTTGAGGCCAAATCTCTGGATCTCGCCTCACCGGTTCTTTTGACTATCGATGACTACAACAAACTGCTCATAGATACTCAAGTTATATCGCCAGAGGCAATAGTGGAGAACATACAGGAATGCTGCAACCAAATGGATGATATGGCATGGCCAAGCTGCCACACTGTTAAGATAACGCAGATCACGCATCTGGAGATCTACAGGCCTCTTGCTGACGCAACGAATCTGATGAACAAGTACTGTGCTGCAAAAATGAAGCACATAGAGGAATGCTACGATAGAACCCAGTTACAAGAGAAAGCTTGTATGATCCTTGAGGAAGACAAGCTTCCGTCACTAGTGGTGAGAGAGTTTAGAAAGAATTTTGACTATAGAGGCTGGACTGCAGCAGTACAATTACTGAGAGAAACGTATCCACGTGAAAAGGAATGGCCACAACTACTTAAAAAACTAGACACCAACCTTCAACACAGATGCTACTACATGGATTCTGGATGGGATGCCGAGAGCATCGAGAAAGAAGAGAAGAGGAAATGGTTCAGCAGTGACACAGCCGATAGCGCAAGACTCACTAAAGACAGCCAGATTCAAGCCCTAACAGAAGTCTTTGAAGCAGCCCGACTGCCTGACGACATGGTCGCAACTGCTGTGGATCTGATGGGGAAGAAAGAATTGGGAGAGATATGGGACCTTCTGCATGATAGAAATGTGCTACGCAGATCAGAAATGAGAGAACTTCAAGATTACGTAGTAACTTCAATAATCAGAGGAACAAAAGCTACATACATGCATACATAGATACATTAAGGACTTAGCAAGTGAGAAAAAGGAAGAACCCAAGGCAACGAATATGCTTAGGTCATCATGGAAAGGGGTCACTGGCATAGAAACTCTGAGTAACATAGTAGATGAGGACAGAGTCTTTTATGGAATAGGCTTTGAATTTGCCAATGGAGGGTGGCACCTGACCGCAGGGAAATTCACTGAATACACTCTGAAGACAGCATTTAGCTTCAAGTTGAATCCTGTTAGAGCTCTGACCGGACCACAGAGTAAGTACTACTTACAGCTGGAAGGATTTGGAAAGGGGTTCCATTGCGTGATATTGGCCACACATTGGAACTCCCAGTGGAGTATCAATCAGCTAGAAGACGCCTTGGCTAAGGCTTCCACATCAGGGCCGAAACAAATATTTGGATGGGTACTGGTTACTGGATCGGCTAGGCAGGTGAATCTGAGGACTACCAGCATCTACCAATACAGGAACGACAGAGTGGAACCAGCCAAAGTTTATGGCAGCAGAACAACATGTACTCTGGAAGTCAACAAAGTTAAACATATGACGACTGGGCTAGAAAGAACGATATGACTTTCGTTACAGTAATGGGAGCCTCAGAGATAATATGCAATGGCAAAGAACATTGGGCTTATATAGACATGGCTGTCGCGGACAAGGGTGGAGAGAAATTCACCCTTGTGAAAATTACAAAGATGGACGTCCCGGCTTGTGAAAGATCATGCACACAGTCGGGAAACGAGTAAGAATTATTTAAAGGAATGAGTATAAAAGTCAGTGGCGAAAAACGGTTTAAGGGAGGAAAATTTTGTTATTAAGGTCCAAAAATAATCCGTTTTTTAATAAAAGTAGTGACCAACACTGTAGTGAAACTGAGAATATATTATTGTGGAGAAAGGAACTGAGTTTTTGCCACAAACTCAAATATTCTTATTCCTATATCTTGGAAACCAAATGTCGTAGACATTAGATATTTCAAACTACTAATTCTGTTAGTAGATCATATAATCTAAGTTTGAAATATAAGTTTATACCAACTGGTTGCAGAGAAATTAGAAAATTTGAGGTTGTGGCAAAAACTCAATTCCTTTGTTAGGTCGACGTTCAAAATCATCCATTTGGGTGGTTACGTTTTGAGAATCAATTTTTTAAGAGTTATTAAACAACGACGATAAGAAATGTGAAAAAGCTTGCACTAGTTAGATGTTTATGACAATTAGATTTCTTCAAATTCTGCACACATGTTGTCTTTTCAATAACAATTCCAGGGAATCTTTGGGAAATGTTTGTGAACATTGAGACATTGCAGAGAAGCAAATAACTGGAAAAGATTACTTATTTTCGATGATAATAGTAAATTTTTATTTTATAAATCTGTTCCTAAACCGATTCTTAAAATCATTTCACAAAAATGAACAATCTATGAGGATTTTAAAGATTGAATTTTCGCTCTTGCTGCAAATATGCACCGTATAAACTTCTCAAAGGTCTCAAATGATTCCTAAAAATATCTCCACAATACTACATTCTCAGTTCAACTACCATTCATTTCCGGTCACTCCCTTTAAAAGTCAAATTCGTAATACTTAAATTGATTTTACAGAAAACCTTTTTGTTTCTATATAAATCCGGTTGAATCAATCAAAAGTTCTTTAAAATCGACATTCCTTAGTGCACATAGATCCAGACTGTCATGAAAAGCTGTATATTCCTTAATTCACATAGATCCAGACTGTCATGAAAACCTGTATATTCCTTAATTCACATAGATCCAGAAGGTTATGAAAAGCTGTATATTCCTTAATTCACATAGATCCAGACTGTCATGAAAAGCTGTATATTCCTTAGTTCACATAGATCCAGACTGTCATGAAATATTGTAAATTCCTTAGTTTACATAGATCCAGACGGTTATGAAAAGCTGTATATTCCTTAGTTCACATAGATCCAGACTGTTATGAAAAGTAAATGTTCAACTACTTTGTTCTATTATTGGTGTGTGACTTGAAGACTACTAGAGTATTGTTACCCGCCTTTGTGGGTATCCTTTCAAATATAACACTACTCCTTAGTTCCCTTTGAGTGTGTATTTTTTTGGTTTTTTCTTTTATAAATCAAATAAAGGGGGACTCAACTAAAACAGTCCCAGGCTATTGAGTCCACCTGCTGTGGAAAATATTATTTTATTTATTTATGTAAAAATTAAATTTATATTTATTGTTTTCTACAGAAAATAAATGATTTTATTTGATAAATTTCCAATCAGGAATAAAAGTAGTCTAAAGGTTGAATTTTGTCTTCTGCTTTACAAATAGTTTGTTAATGGTACACAATTAAACAGTTTTAAACTAAAGAAAACAACTAATTCAAGTCAAAGAAATTAATAAATTCTGCATAGTTTTAAGTCTCATGGCCTTGAAAATGAATGAACTTTTTTTTGCAGCTTTAATTTAATTAGTCGTTTTCTTACAATTATGCCTGGCTGTGAATTCAGATTTCTTTCATCAACCAACAAATCATCATTGATAAAGGCAGTTGTTCTTAAAGTTTCATCCCTTGCGTGTCTTGTAGAATAAAAGTAACATTTTGTTTAGGATTTTTTGCCTATCTTGTATGTGGGTATGCATTTTCTTATGGCCATGGATCTTCAATGATTGGTTGGACATATTTTGGGCTTGCTAATATACCCCTTCAGCTCTGCTCACACATTTTTTTCCAAGTAAAATAACTTCAGTGAGACCCATAAAACTGTGGAATATGAAGACGACATTAAAACAATTTTTTAGCAATTTATTATTTTAATGTTTAATTTTGTAAATTGGATACAGTAAAATTCTAATTTGATTCATCTTCCTTTTTTCTTTTTCTTCTGTTGACTGTCTTTGATTCTGATAATTTTGAAAAAAAAAGTAAAATTTGTTCAAGCCAGTATATTTTGGGACACTGCTCAATTGTAATTGTTTCAGTGTGTTCTATTTTGGCTAACTGACTCTTGAGTTTTCAGTTTTCTTATTGCCTTTCAAGGAATGTCTGACTCAACAAGCTAATCAGACTGTATTGGTGTAAGATATTTTTCAAATGAAATCAAAGTTTTTAACAAAGCTGAAAGATGTGATTGAAAACGCACAGGCGCAAGGAATTCACATGCATTGTTCATTTTTTTTCAAGTGTGATTTTCATGTGTTTTTGCGTGGCGCAAAAACGCAGGATTTTGCTAAATAAAATAATATTTTTCAAATGAAATCAAAGTTTTTAACAAAGTTGAAAGATTGATTTGAACTTGTTTTATTCGAATTGTGGAAGGCGCACAGACGCACGGAAAAAATGACAAATAACCCAAATTTTGATTTTGGGGCTATTTACATCTATAGAATCAGACTTGATCCAGAGGCAAAAGGGTAGATGGGGGACCACATGGGAGGATGGGTTATGCATTTATTTCTGTACTTTGAGTTTTGTGTCCAAATCTTAGTTTCGTTTAGTTGCCAAAAGATGGAACCCACAACATTCATCCACTAAGAAAACAATTATAAATGCTGTTTGTGATAAATAGAGGAGTCAAAATTTGGAGTAGGTATGAAAGGAGGGTATCGAGGGACTCTCAGGAAGGAAGGAACTCTGTTTTTCTCCCTGAAGCATACTTTTTCTGGCATTTTAGGTTACCCATTGGAGTTGCACCGCATCTACATAAATTGGGAATTACTGTTCTTTAGAATACGGCTCGTCTACCACAATATTTTCTTCGCAGCCTGCAGAGTATAAACTGGTATCATTGTGCATTGTGCACAACCTATCAGGATTCTACTTTCTATGTTTCCATTTTCCTTGTTTCTGACGATAGGACATTGTTATAAAACATATAAGAATAGTTTGAAAACAAACTTATTGAGTGAAGTTTAGTACACTAAACAAATGCTGTGTTTTATGTTTAATAAAAGAATCAAAGCTTGAGTCAAAAAGTCGATATCATATTTTACAGTTTTATGAGTCTTGGTGTATGCAAAAATTAAATATTTTTTTGTGTGCTAATTTTCGATAAAATCAACTACAGAAAAAAAGAAAAGAAAGATTGAATGAAAATTACCTTTTTTATTTTTTATAAAATAAAAAAAAAATCTTAGGTTATTTTCTAATATTTTTTTAAACTTAATTTTTAGGGAACTTTTGCTGCAACTTGTACAACAATAGTGTCGGGGGCAGTGGCAGAGAGAGTTAGTTTCCCAGGGACCAGATTTACTAAAAAAGTAGTTGAAACAAGTTGACCTAGTTGAACCACTTCTTTTCAACTTAAACCTGGACCGAATTTAATGGATTTGAGCTACTTCACTGAACTAGCTACTGCCGGCTCAAGATTTGAGATTTAGGAATGATTTGAATTGATGATTCAAAGTTGAACCGGCGGCGAAAGTCAGTTCAAATTCATTAAACTCAGTCCCTGGGCATATAATAGAAGTGGTTTAACGAAGTCTATGTAGTTCAACTTCTTCTCCTTATTTATTAAATCTGGACCTAGGTTATATTCTCTTATCAATCATCCTGACAGGGTTTATTTATCCAGTTCAAGCTCATTGGGGTTGGAGCTCACAGGGATGGCTGAAACAAACGTAAGTACACAATTTTTTTAACCCTTTTCCTCCGAGGGGGGGGGGGATAGCATAAAAGTGAGAGGATGTTTCTAACTAAGACAAGCCCGGTTTTTTAGGCCAAAGGTTGCAAGCTCTCACGCAATAAAAGACGATGGCAGTAATAATATCAAGTATACATTATACATTACTTAAATTAAAATGTCTGGAGGACTACAAAACAAAGTATAATGTGAGTAAGTGAGGGAAAATAAAGACAAGGCGTGGCTACATTAAAACTTAACCCAGTCGTGAAAATTCATACAATTTCTCATCAGTCTCGATCTATGTAACCTATACAAGAGAAAAATTATCATTGAGATGTTTATAAAATATACAATTTTAAGGACATATGAAATATACATATTTTTGGTCTATAACTTAATTTTTCAATAATGATTGACTGAGGGGGGGGGGGGGGAAGGCACGCCACACCCGTATAGCTTCCTATCCACAATTTACTCACAAACATAGACTTGTGGCAAAGCACTCACCCGTAGAGCGTCCTTAGCTCCAACCAACTAGCTTCCGGCAAAATGTCTTAATTTTCCTAAATTTCATCCATAAATGACTAACAAACTCCCCTTTGGCAACGTCACGTGACGATAATTGATACAAAATAGAATTTTATTGTTTCATACCAGAATTTGATCGCACTAAGATGAGTTTAACCCTATTTATCCTGATGTCCGGTTTCATAAGTGGATCCGGGGGGGGGGGGGGCCAAATTGCCCCCCCCCCTTTATTTTCTTTTTGTTATACAAATATAAAACATTTCATATGTTTTTGGAAAGCATTTCGCAAAATTTAGTTATTTTAATTAAAAAATACTACAGAGCTAGGGTTGTTAATCGTTTTTTGTTTAGTTTTTCGATCATTTTCTAAAACGATCGTTTCGTTTTCGAAAAAAACCGATTATTTTTGAAAATGACACACTCGTTTGGAACTTTAAGAAACAAATAACGACCATTTGTATAAAAACGGCCGTTTTTAAAAACGATAAGCGACCATTTTTATACAATTGTTTAAAAAAAAACTATCGTGTTTGAAAAAAATTGTCATTGATAAATATGTTAACGATCGTTAATGAAACGATGTACTTTATAAAAACGGTCATCTTTTAAAGAAAATATTGCTTTTGAAAAATTGTCATTGATAAATATGCAACTTTTTCGAATGTCATGTAAGTAAAAGGTATGGGGCGCTAAAACTTCTTGATATTTTCTTTAAAATTTCTAAATGTTAAGTACCAATGCCCTTTAGGTCGGCTTCCTCTCTCTTCTTTTCTTTGTTAACGGTCTTTAACGGCCTTCAGAATGCGAAGATACTAATCAATTGAAATTTGATTTCTACAGATTGACCCCGAAAAGTTAAACGTATTCATTGGCCATTTGTACGACGAGTTTATGATGTACAAGGGGTTGTACAATTTTTATCTTTTCAGTACGAATTAAAAATCTAATATAATGTATCTAGAATTTTACTGTATTTTACCCAGCCTACCATATGTACGAAAAAATCCACAAAACTACTTTTTTGAAAAGTCATGAAGTTTCAAAATAAGAAGTGTTGGGGAAACGACTTTTTATCGTAAAAGCAATTACATTTCTAAATTCGTAAATATTCTTTTCACTGAAAAAACCCAATAATTAAAGTTGCAAAATTTAAATTTATATGCATGAAGTAATGTTTAATTTAATTAATAAATAATCTAGAATCAACAAAATAATTCAACATTAATCTATAATTTATGAAAATATGAAATTCTTGTGAGTACTTTAAAGTCAGTAGGACTGGGCACGGTAGACCTTTTTTAATTCATTTGTCAGCGATTAAAGAGACGTAAGCGTAATTTTAAGTGACCCTCCATGTGAAGATGTCAAATCTTAATCTCTTCCAATTTGTAGAAGATATTGTTGTTTTTCTGTCTCGCAAATTCCGTTTTTCTGTGTACTTCTCCATTGTTTCTTATAACCAAAAATGCGTTTTTGACACTTTGGTAGAGAAACCGTATAGCACAATGAATTGTTCACGCAATTCAATACATATCTAATTCATACAAGAGTACCGTAGTAGATCGGGTATTACAATCTTTGAATGAAGATCTCGCTTAATATTACGCTTTAATTGAAAATAAAAATTCACTTTGTCTGCTGAGTGATAACAGAAGGCTAGGAAAAAGGAAAATTGAAGGTTCTTTTAACAGAGATTAACGGTTAGTGGAATCCAGCTAGTTTTCAATTCTTATTTTAGTTTGAGTTGGGTCGTACAGGCTACTGGGGGTCCATTAACAAATTAATTAAATTTTCTCAGCTTTTTAACTTACCATACATTCTTTTTGATTTTCGGTTTGTCTTAAAATTTTGTTCAGATTTCATGTTAAAATTGCATGATCTTTGCTTCTTTCTTTGTTTTGTAGAGAGTTTCGTGACTATGCTGGGTCTGGACTTGTACATTTATGCGGAGGAACTTTAGCTTTCTTTGGAGCTCTCATACTCGGGCCTAGGGCGGGAAGGTTCAAAAGAGGTGCAGAGGTATATGAGGTTCAGTTAAAGTGATAATTCACGAATAAAAAAGGGGTATTGATATTGATATTTATATAGTTTTACATTCATCTGTTGCGTCTAAAAAGGAGAAAATGTTTAAAAACGACTCGTACTGGAAAGCGTAGAACCCATTCATATTCATCCTTATGCATCGAATTTAATTCGACAATTGTAGATTGTAATATCTAAATGGGTAGTTATAATTTAATTGAGTTATTTAAGATCTGAGTTGAATAATGCAACTCCGTGAATTGTATACGCTCTTAGATGTATTTAATCATCTTCTCCTATATAGACGTGCCACAGATAGAATTAAACTTAGTAGAGATCGATATCGAATTCATTTCGATATCAGCCTATACCCCTATTTATTTTTTACGAACACTCCCTTTAAAGGGATGGTCAACAGCAAGTGTTCATAGTCTAATAAAATGGATTTACCGATGTTCTTTTCACCACCCTTGCTATTGAATTGAATAATAGAGTAACCTAAAAAATTAAAAATTGTTCTCTTTTTTAGACCGGCATTTTTGTTTTGTTGCAGATTTCATTACATAAAAAACAATCTGTAAATGTCTGCTTGTATCAATTATTATTCTTGTTATAGAACAATTCTTTTCCTGGTCACTCCATTCCTCAAACTCTGCTTGGTTCTTTGATTCTTACTTTTGGATTTTTGGCCTTCAATGGCGGCTCCAGAGTAAGTTTGGAGTGTTTATAGTAAGATTTGCAAGGTTCAAGAGTAAGTATGTCACGAAAAACTAACTACCACAAAGTGTAGTATCCTGTGGGTAGCGGAATATGTTCAGCTATAATTAGATCTCTCTTTCAAAATTTGTCAAAAATATCGTTTAGTGTCAATACACTTTATACATTTTTGAAGTACGTAGCACAACAAAAAAGTACAAATAGCATTTACGAAAAATCTTTAACTAAGACACACTAGAATTTATCCAGGACTTCTAGTTCATGGATTCTAAAAATAAATATGTTGTTGGTTGTTGCCCTGATGGCTCCTAATATGAAAAAAAGGAACTTTAGTTCTAATGGAAATTTCTAAATTTCTAACAAACAAAGGAATTAAGTCTTTCCAACAAACTCCAATTCTCTCATTCTTTTATAAGTCTTTGCAACCTGATGTCGAAGACCTTTGAAAGTTTAAACTTTGAATTTTGTTAGATCAAGTTGTCTAAGTTTGAAATATCAAAGGTTTACGCCGTTAGGTTGAAAAGACATCAACAAATTTTAAGCTTGTAGGTTCCCAATTAGATCGCCGGTTTTTCTAGTGGATTTTAACAAATTTAAGATGCAACATTGTTTTTTTTTTACTTTTTGTTTTGTTTTTTTATAGTTTGCTTTATTGCTATATGTATTAAAATATTTCTAGGGCTCGATAACTAATCCAGGAGATGGTGTAGCTGTTGCAAGATCAGTATTAAACACTATAATATCCTGCTGTATAGCTGGGCAACTGGTTCTTATTATTAATCGTCTCATTACAGGCTACTGGTCTCTTACTAAGGTATTCTTAATACATTCAAAATAGATTATGACATTGTAAAAATTGATGTGAATATTTTGATTTTCGTATTTGATGTTGTAATTTAACTGAGAGTAATTTTCTGCAATAGACCCAAGGTTTTATATGCCACTCTGTATGTAGATGTTAATTGGAAGTTTGATAGGTATGGTTTATATTTGTAGTTTTATATCTATATAGATGATAAATGGAAGTTTGACTGGTATGGTTTGTATTTGTGCGGGAGCAGATAGATATTATCCTTGGGCTGCTTCAATAGTAGCAGGTTTGTGTCTCATTACTTTAATATTTTTTTTATTGAAAACCCAAAGTTAGTAAATTTTCCAAATTGAAATTTTTTATAGTTTAAAGAGACCGTAAGCGTAATTTAAAGCATGATCTTTCATATAAAGAGAGGCTTCTCTTATTCACAATCGTTTCCTTGACACCTTTAGCTGATCAAGGATGTCACAAAATCGACATATTTAATCTTTTTAAATCCGAACTAAATATCGGCCTAACAAGTCAGTATGGTTCATACAATATGTTCGGCCTCCCCACAAATATTCGGAAAATGTTTAACATTTGGATTTAACAACATAGGAATAAGGAAACGAGTGTGCACTTAAGATTGAATGAAAATTACTTATAAACCGAATATTGCTTTTTTATCTGCAAGAAAATTTTTCAGACAAGGCAAAGAAATTAATTAAAAAATAAAATTAGTGCAACACAGTGTCCCAAGGGAAATTGTTACAAAGGCTCAAATAAAACAATTGCATAAAATTAATAAATAAATAATATTACATTTTTATTTAAAGGATTCGCTGCAGTATTTTACATATGCTGTTCTTTTCTCATGGTAAAAATAAAGGTAATCATGATTATTTGGTCCAGTAGTTTGGTCAGCTTTAGCTGACATATATATATTAGCGAAGAGTTTCATTATGTAGATAATTCGTTTTATAGTTTTTTCTTGCTGGTGTATCTTTAAGTCATTTTTGTTCCTGTTTATTTATGGATTTTTTACATTTTTGAATTCGAAAGTTTTTGAGGCTTTTTTTTGAAAAACCTTCCCATAAAGGGACTGTACTCGTAATTTCAATCGACCCTCTATGCAAAGATGGGGATGCCCGTTTAACAACGGTTCCATGAAAATCATTTTTTTGTTTTTGAAAATTAATTGTTTTCAGTCGGGGTTCTCTACAAAAGTAATTATCAGAATTATATACTTTTAAGCATAAAAACGACACTATCTTCTACATTTTTGATCTGATGAAGGTTTCAAAGATATCATTATTAGCCGGACATTGATATTTTTCATTTAGGGTCAATACAAATATAATTAGAAAGACAAGAATAAGTTCTCTAGATTGATGATCCTTTGGACGCTATATCTGTCCATTTTGTTGGAGGATTATGGGGTTTGATTGCTGCTCCTATATTTATGGATACAGGTTCCTCGTTAAGTTTGGAAATTCCTTTAAATATGGCGCGGACGAAAACCGGTTTTTGTGACGATATTTTTGGTAAACATTTTACTTTTTAGTTATTTAAAGGAATGAGTATAAAAGTCAGTGGCGAAAAACGGCTTAAGGGAGGAAAATTTTGTTATTAAGGTAGTGACCAACACTGTGTGGTAGTGAAACTGAGAATGTAGTATTGTGGAGAAAGGAATTGAGTTTTTGCCACAAACTCAAATATTCTTATTCCTATATCTTGGAAACCAAATGTCGTAGACATTAGATATTTCAAACTATTAATTCTGTTAGATGATAGATCATATAATCTAAGTTGAAATATCAAAGGTTTATACCAACTGGTTGCAGAGAAATTAGAAAATTTGAGGTTGTGGCAAAAACTCAATTCCTTTATTAGGTCGACGTTCAAAATCATCCATTTGGGTGGTTACGTTTTGAGAATCAATTTTTTAAAAATTATTAAAGAGCGACGATAAAAAATGTGAAAAAGCTGACACTAGTTAGATGTTTATGACAATTAGATTTCTTCAAATTCTGGACACATGTTGTCTTTTCAATAACAATTCCAGGAAATCTTAGGGAAATGTTTGTGAATATTGAGACATTGCAGAGAAGCAAATAACTGGAAAAGATTACTTATTTTCGATGATAATAGTACATTTTTATTTTATAAATCTGTTCCTAAACAAATAATTAGTTTACTGTTGAAATTTTACAACATTTTTCGTCGTCGCTATTGAATTATCTTTAAAAAATCGATTCTCAAAATCATTTCTGAAAAATGAACAATCTGTGAGGATTTTAACGATCGAATTTGCGCTCTTTCTGCACAAATATACACCGTTTAAACTTCTCAAAGATCTCAAATGATTCGTAAAAAATATCTCCACAATACTACATTCTCAGTTCAACTACCATACATTGTCGGTCACTCCCTTTAAAAGTCAAATTCGTCATACTTAAATTGATTTTACAGAAAACCTTTTAGTTTCTCAAAATTGTTAAAATTTGTATGCTCCATACAAATCCGGTTAAATTAATCAAGTTTTCTAAAGTTCTTTAAAAATCGACATTCCTTACTGCACATAGATCCAGACTTTTATGAAAAGTTGTATATTCCTCAGTTCACATAGATCCAGACTGTTATGAAAAGTTGTATATTCCTTAGTTCACATAGATCCAGACTGTCATGAAGAGCTGTATATTCCTTGGTTAACATAGATCCAGACTGTTATGAAAAGTTGCATATTCCTTAGTTCACATAGATCCAGACTGCCATGAAGAGCTGTACATTCCTTATTTCACATAGATCCAGACTGACATGAAGAGTTGTATATTCCTTAGTTCACATAGATCCAGACTGTTATGAAAAGTTGCATATTCCTTATTTCACATAGATCCAGACTGTCATGAAAAGTTGTATATTCCTTAGTTCACATAGATCCAGACTGTTATGAAAAGTTGTATATTCCTTAGTTCACATAGATCCAGATTGTTATGAAAAGCTGTATATTCCTTAGTTTACATAGATCCAGACTGTTATGAAAAGCTGTATATTCCATAGTTCACATAGATCCAGACTGTTATGAAAAGTTGTATATTCCTTAGTTCACATAGATCCAGACTGTTATGAAAAGTTGTATATTCCTTAGTTCACATAGATCCAGACTGTTATTGAAAAGCTGTATATTCCTTAGTTCACATAGATCCAGACTGTTATTAAGCTGTATATTCCTTAGTTCACATAGATCCAGACTGTCATGAAAAGTTGTATATTCCTTAGTTCATATAGATCCAGACTGTCATGAAAAGCTGTATATTCCTTAGTTCACATAGATCCAGACTGTTATGAAAAGTTGTATATTTTTTAAGACTGGGACGGCTTTAAAGTGTCTTAAGGCGTTGGCATTTGATTTTATCTCACTAACTCAGTTATACTTTTTTGCAGACACTTGACAAGTAAATTCTAAAATCCGACGCACTTGTTTCTAGCTGTAGTGTTCAAGGAGTAATTGGCCAAATTCTCATCATTTTTTTTGTTTCTTATTCTTTGTTTATGTTTTCTTGTTCCAGCATTTCCTCTTTCTTTGCTACAGTACATCCTTTAAAGATTCATTATTTTCTTATTTTTGTTTAGGCCTATTGTACTCAGCTGATGAAAAGGCTGTACTGGTTTTGGTTTGGAATTTACTTGGAGCCGGGGTCATTATAGTTTATAATGGAATTGCAGGGATTATAATCTTTTCAATTCTTAAGGTTACATTAGTTTTGATATATTCAAATATAGAGTTTAGGCGTATTTTTATAAATGAAATTTTTGTCTTACACATCAAAATTATTTAATTTTAAGATCTAAAATCGACAATATTTTCTGTTCCTCGGATAAAAGTTTAAAGGGTGCCGTTGTGAATATCAAATTTAAATTCACTTAAAATTGAAAAATCGATTTTGTTTGATTTCAAATTAAAATCCAAAGAACAAAATGTCTTTTACAAACACATAAGGAAAGATGTTTTTTTTTCTAGAAGATTAACTTATTCCGAACGTCGGCCGAGTGTGAGATGGTTGGCTTAGATTGGTTTTATAGCAGAGAACCAGCATATCCTACAGGTAGCTCACTCTAACCTATACTGATCTTGGAGATATAATCCAGGAGATGCAGTGCAGGGCGGTGGAGGTCACCTTCAGTCCTGCAGGTCTCAAAGACATGACAAGTGTAGAGTTTTCAATTGTAAAATATCATTTTTATATCCATGCTCATTATTTTCGATAATCTGATATTGATACATTTTAGGGGCTTACAATATTACATCCAGGGACTTGAAATCAGACTCAGAAATAATCACACAGCAGGTATATATTTTTTAACTTTGTGACTAGTACTGTGACTGTTGGGGTACTTGAAAAAAATATTTGCAAAATCCAGTTAAAAAGTTAAAATGTTTGCAAAAAAATATTGTCCAAAAATTGATAAAATATACATTTTTGAAAAGCCCTTGACCATGACATTTCAAATATGCAAAAAATATTGCAAACTTTTAAATAACCTGATGTGTAATTAAGAAAAACCAAAAAAGTTCAAATTTTCTGTGACAGGTTGTTTTCAAATAATTAAAAAAATTCTTTGCAATACTTGTGAAATTCATTCCTTTATGTCATAGGCTTTCCAAAAAGCTAAAAGTTATCAACATCTGACAACTAAAAGTGGGTAAAACAAAGATTTAGTTTGTTATATACTATGCCTGAAGACTCAGGCATAGTATATAATCCGGCTTTAGGCCTAAAGGGAGGGCTTTGTGTATTTACTATTTAGGATAAGTCTTGTAAAAAAAAACTACAGGGGGTGAGTCAAATTACCCCCCCCCCCCTTGAAAGGAATAGGGATAAACAGGATTATAGAATTGTTTGAACGTTTAATTTAATTTATTAATAAGTTGAACAACATTTACTGGTTATGGTTGTTTTTAATTGTTAACTTAAAAAAATTTGGTTTATTATTTTATTTATGTTTCTATTATTAATATTTTTTAACTATTTTCAGTTTATTTGTAATTTCAAAATAATTAAAAAAAAATTATTTCTTTTTCAGACTCATGAATATCAACATCAACCTTCCCAATTCCTTCCTCCAGTACAGCAATCAGATAATCTTTTCACTCCAGATTCAGTCAACATTGATGATGATATATTTCTCATTCAATCCAATATGGAAATTGAATGTTAAACCAAGTTGAGAAATTTTTTCAATTAAATCATTGCGATTAATTTAACAAATATCAAAATCTTAAACATATTTTTGGTAAATTTTCAAAATTATCAACACATTTTGAAGTTAGTCAAACAGACAAGTGTTAAGTAGATAAATGAAGAAAAGGTTATTTTATTGAGAGTGGAATGTCCGATGTCTGATATAGTATTTATTTGATATCAATGTTTTTGTTTTTAAAACCTGACTATTTTCATTTGTGGTTTCTTTAAAAATGTGAATTGCGCATTTCATGCTTCTGAAACAATAAAGAGCTTAAGTTTTGATCCATATTGATCAAATTAAGGTTTCAATGGTACCAATGTAAATCGGACATGGGATTTATTTTCTATTTTTATAGAGCGTCACTTAAATTCCGACGACATTCAATTTAATATGTAGGAATTGTTCTGTATAAATGTAAAATAAAAAAAAATTTAAAACAAAAAAAAATATTAATAAAAAAATATATGTTTCAGTATAAATGTAAAATAAAAAATATGTAAATAAAATATATTTGTTTCTGTATAAATGTAAAATAAAAAATATATAAATAAAAATATATTGGTTTCTGTATAAATATAAAATAAAAAATATAAAATTGCAGTAATTATGAACTTGAAATAGTGCTTTTAATGCACATTCATATTAAATGAATTTAAAGAGAACGTTAATCTGCAAAAGGTAATTGCAATTTCCCCAAAAAGCGATAATTTTATTCTAAATTTTTAATTTGTATTGAAATAATTATATATTATTTAAAACATGATTTCATTTTTGCATTAGGAATTTTAATGATATTAAATTTCAAATTATTTATGATAACTGGCAATTATAGAAATAAATGGGTGAATTTTATTTTGTTAAATGTAAGTTTCCTTTTAATTCCACGTTAATATTAATGAAAAACATTTTTATTGTAATAGTAACTGCAATTTCCCCAAAAAGCAATTAAATCCATATTGAATATTTAATTTCAATTTAATGAGACACTGAAACATGATTCCAATTCTGCATTACACATTATTAATGATGTTTAATTATGACTTATGGCTTAAAAATAAAAATGCTCATGGATGATCAACCAACATTAAAATTCATAATTTCAAATTCAGAAATAAATTAAGAAATAAGAAATGCTCATAAAATTATCAAAATTATTATGAAAATAAACTATTGAAAATAATAAAATACGATTTTGGTAATTTCAATTTTTTTACATGGGAACTTTTCATTATTTAAATTTTAAACCACGAGAACATCTTTTAGGTTTAAAAATAAAGTTTTTTTTATATTTATACTTTGTGGACTACGTAGATCCAGCTTACTTTCAAGTACTGGGTAAAATTAAAAATTCTGATTATGGCGTAAGAGCTTTCAATCTTTGAATCCATGTGCGGCATCAAAAATAAATTTTCCCATTTAATTTGAGAAACTTTACCATCAAGACAAACAGTAAATCTGTCAAATGTTTTGAATTTAAAACATCAAAAAGCTTATATTAATGCTTTAAAGAAGTGCAGTAATATTTCCATAGGGTTACTCAAAACCTACAATGGGTGAAACTTTTCTGATGTGATGAAATTTTGAAAATATTATATTTTATTGTAATATTTAATGATTTGACAAAGGAAAATTTCATAATTTCATTTTTGACATTATGAATCAGGTCAAATTACTGCAATATTTCTTTTATGTCTAAATAAATAACCTCCTATGAACTTCAGTTTTGATCTTATTAGAGAAAAGAAATGTAATTTTGTTGCATGAAACATGTTTTAATTTAAATTTAAATTTAATTTGATTTGACATGATGTCAAGAAATGTTAAAAGATTAAGGCATTAAATAATCGATTTTCTTTGTCCAATGAAAATTACATGAAGCTTAAAACTAACTAGTTTAATTTGGGTAAAATTTGGTCTATCGAAAATGTCTAGTTTTGCACTTGAAACAAGTCGTTATTAAATTAAAAGTTTACCTTACATTTGTGTGTCTTTTGATATTCAAGTATTTTTAATTTAACTCTAACCTGGTTGGAGTATTTTAGTGTAATATAGGTTTTAATGAAGTTAAATATGGGAGTGTGATACATGTCTTCAGTCCAACATTATCTTTAATGGTTAGGGTGCAAGGGAGGATTTAAAAAAAAGTTCATATAGTATGTCGGAAAAATGATCAAAATAATTAGTTTTATTTTTGACTAATATTAACATTTGACACAGATTATTACATTTATTTTTCAAGGACTTTTTAAATAAATAGATTAAAACCCTGTAGCTTAATTACTAAAAAAGTTATTAAGCATTACTAATTGTTTTTTACACCTATCTGCCGTTTGACTGTCCTCTACCCTACCAAATGCATCCCAAAAAATAACAAAAAGATTTGGCTAAATTTGAACAAAACAATGATGTTGAAAAAGTGTAGAAGTTTCAGCGTTTTAAGTAATATGTAAACAACCACAGAGAGGGGGGAGTGAACCCCCCCCCCCTGTTCTGATGAGGTCAAGACTGCAAAACAATGGCAAATTTCAGTGTTAAAGTCAACGATGTTTTTTTTCTTGGATATATCAATGAAATCTTTCTATTTTAACATTTAGTGTTTAATAACGAAAATATCTATTCCTGGTTTTTGGTATAAAACAGATTTCGTTCCGGCAAATAATAAAAAACTGTGTTCCAGAATCAAATTTCGAACAAGCATAAAAAAATCAAATTAAAAATTGTTTAGATTATTACATTTTGCACCCTTAGTTTGATTTCATACAAGTATAAATAAAGGGAATCTTTTAAGTGTTCAACTCAAATTTCGACAAATATCAATAGAATCTCTGAAGTGCACATCTTTATTCTGGAATTTTTTAAAATCTAATTTTTGAAAAAAATAACAAGATTTTTGAAAAAAAAACTAAACTTGTCTATAAAATTTGGTCCAACAATGCCTGGACGTATTTAGTTTTGAAGAGATACTCTTTAAAAATGAAAATCTGAATTAATTTTTTAAAATTAATTAAAGAGAAAATATCTAATAATACTAAAATATATCAAAAATTCTGCCTACCTCCCGTTTCCACTTAAAAGTTTATTATTGCACAGATTTTACCGACTTGGCCAATTTCTAAATTTAGTGATACTAATATTTTTATTATTCTGTCGTCAAAAGCTTAAGGTTTTATTCTGATGGTTGAAAGGATTTATAAGGAAATTTATAAAGGAATTTTTCATTCTCATGTAAAATTCAAAACTAAAATAACCATTGTTAAAGTAATATTAAAACCAAAATAGTTTTATGATTTTATTTGACTGGACAAAATCAATATTAATAAATTTACAAAAACGAAATATTTTAAGTATTTTTTTTTATTTAAAAAATATATTTCGAAAACTTCTGACCTATCAAATGATGTCACAATAATGATTGTATTTAATATATGACATGTTCAAGGACAAAATATTTTTTGCATGCTCCTCGAGAAATAAAATTTTGAAGGCCATGCATTTCATGCAAAAGCTGCAGTAATGCAAATGCATTGAAAGAAGATGGAACTCACATTAGTAAAAGTTTCATTAATTGTCTTTTACTTCAATCTTAGGGCTATAAATGGTAACAATTTTCAAAGCAATCATATTCATGGTAATCATATTTATGGTAATCATGTTTAGGGTAATCATATTCAGGGTAATCATATTTAGGGTAATCATATTCATGGTAATCATATTCAGAGTAATCATATTCAGGGTAATCATATTCATGGTAATCATATTCATGGTAATCATATTCATGGTAATCATATTCATGGTAATCATATTCATGGTAATCATATTCAGAGTAATCATATTCAGGGTAATCATATTAATGGTAATCATATTCAGAGTAATCATATTCAGGGTAATCATATTCATGGTAATCATATTCATGGTAATCATATTCAGGGTAATCATATTTAGGGTAATCATGTTCTGGGTAATCAATTTAGGGTAATCATATTCAGGGTAATCATATTCAGGGTAATCATATTCATGGTAATCATATTCATGGTAATCATATTCAGGGTAATCATATTTAGGGTAATCATGTTCTGGGTAATCAATTTAGGGTAATCATATTTAGGGTAATCATATTCAGAGTAATCATATTTAGGGTCATTTGTTCTGGGTAATTTTATTCAGGGTAATCATATTCAACGAAATCATATTCAGAGTAATCATACTCAGGGTATTCATATTCATGGTAATCATATTCTGGGTAATCATATTCAGATTAATCATATTTAACGTAATCATAGTTGGGCGCTAGCCGCTAATTTACGGTATATATCACTCATATTCAAGACAACATTTTGAAAACTCTTCCAATGTCTTTTTATATGTGAGTTTAATTGTACAGTTAGTTGGTGCATAGTCATTAGTCATTTTTACAATCAGTCGAAATAATCAACACTTAATTTTAGGCCAATGCATTTCCACTGAATGCACTTTTCCTAAGTTTTATATATCTGGAAGTTATGCAGCAGGTAAGCAACATATGCAAAGATTGGCATCTTCGGTTTTTTTTTCATTTTTTTCGTTCATCGTTTGTGAACATCCCATTTTCTGCGATTTTTTTTCAATCATTCAAAATAAATTTTATTCTATCGTTTACAAAATTATTGTTCATTTTCCATCTTTTTTGTTTGTTTTCTCACTACATTAGAGGCTCAGTATGAGACCAGTGTAATATTCCTTTGTCATTTGTAAATTTACAACCTATTTGTAAATTGTCATTTAAGCATAAATTGTAATTTGAATATAATTAATTGGAAATGTAGACGTTTATGGATGAAAATGTACAAGTAACTGAAGGATTTGTAAATTGTAAATGCCTAAGCGTATAATGACAATAATTTATTATTGACTAAACTAATTTCTAAGATGTAAATTGTAAATTGTAAATTGTAAATTGTAAATTGTAAATTGTTAATGCAGGGGACATTAGTTTCAAAACTAACACTTGGCCCATTTCCCAACATTGAGAGTTAGGAATTGGCACAAATTGAAAGACTGGGTTTTTGGGATCCCGGCCCATATCCAGAGTAAATGTCGATAGTAAAAACTATAACAATGCATTTTATTAAACATGAACGAGGACAACAATTCCCATTTTCAAACTTTTTTTAAAATCAAAATTATAAGAGGAGTTCTTCTTATATTAAATCTCTGACCGTTTTCAAAACAATGTCAGGAATTCAATTTTCGAACATATCCTGAATTTGAAACATTGTCGCGTTTTCGAGACAAAACCCACTTTCCTGTTTTTTAGTATAATCCACAATTCAAAACAAAACTAACTTTTATAACTTACAAAATAAATCACTAAAAACTAAAATTATCTTATGAAGCTAAATCAACTGTTAAATTAGAGAATATCGATGATTTACTTTCAAGCATTTTAAACA